AGGATCTTCACTACCATATAAGCTGCTCCATCAGTTCGTTTATTTTGATGTACATATTCTGGCTTGACTTTGCTCCAGCGAATTGCCCAAGTTTTTAGGAGGTACATGTACTTGTTCTGATCAAGGAGGCTGTATGCGTTCGGACAAGGGACCCTGGAAACAACCTGAGATCGTGAAGGTAGATAAAGACCGTTCTGTATCTTCTTCTTTTTTTTTCCCCCCTTTATGCATCATTACTACTATGCATTATTTTAACTTCTAATTTAATTAGAATTCATAAGTATCGATTTATGTACTTGCAGATGGTTCAAAACGGCATTCATAAATGTTCAAGAAAACCTGGAGTTCAAGTAGGTCTTACTTGAACATATCTTCTGCTTTTCTTTTTCCTTATAAACCTGCCCCTAGTTGACAAGTTTTTTGGATTGTCACATTTCGGACATTAGATCATCTCAAAATTCTCAGTCGCATGATTTTTGAAAATATATTTTGGTGCTTCTGGTTCGTAAATGTCATCTATACCTTGATCATATAATCTTCCTAGGGACTCGGTGCAGCTCTAAACATCGGCCGTTCCACTCCTAAACTTAATCATGCACTTTCTCGCTTCCATGAAGAAGTAAGTGCAAAAAGCTTCCAAGTTCAATTTAATTTTCAACCGAGCAATTGTCTCGTACACTGAGAGCTTTCCTTTTTTCATGTATATGTTTCTAAGCATAGGTGCAAAAAGCTTCCAAGTTCAATTTAATTTTCAACCGAGCAATTGTCTCGTACACTGAGAGCTTTCCTTTTTTCATGTATATGTTTCTAAGCATAGACACACATATACTTGTTATCTGCGTATCTTGTAGCTGAAGTTTCCCTCCTCTCTTGTCGCGACAGTTCTAACTTCCTCTGTGAAATAATTTTCGCAGGTATCGCTAGCCAAAACTCGCGAAGCGTCTTTCAGGCGCGAGGACAGTGCCTCGATGGTTGGTAAATCCGTGGATTCAAGTTGGCCAATGGCGACGGGGAATGTTAAATTTGCCCTCTCAAACGCTAAATCATCTAAGAATTTAGGTGACCTTGTATATTGTGTTTCCTTTCCTTTTCTAGCTCTAAGATATTCCGTAGGGTCTGAGTTTCCTTTACTTGCAGCAGGAGATTGTTTCACCAGGAACAATGCTTGCAAACTTCCTGAAGGGTTCGGCTCTCAGATTATGGCTGCTATTCTGACGTTTCTTATGGGCATTGTCGCCATGGTCAGACTAACACGTAGCATGCCGAAGAGGCTCACTGACTCCACCTTCTACTCCAGCACTGTCTGCGACGGTGACACAATGGTCAAAGGCCAGGGCTCTTCACACGCTGCCATCTCCGGCTCAGATCTCATGACTGTCATGAAACGCATGGCTGAGTTGGAAGAGAGAATGACTGTTTTGAACATGAAACCAGCCACCGTGCCAGCTCAGAAGGAGGAAATGCTGAATACTGCTCTAGGCCGGGTTGGTGCCTTGGAGAAAGAGCTTATGGCAACAAAGCAGGTAGGGTTTCTATAAGTTCCGCTATAAATCATGAAACATAATCCAATAGGAAAGTAAAAATCTGTCATTTGCATCAATCACTAGCAGGGTACTATTAACGTTAGATGTGTATGATCTTCATTTGAATTGGCTTCTTGTTTAGGCTCTCGAGGAGTCGCTTACCCAGCAAGAGGAACTCTTTGGCTCTCTTGACAAAAAGAAGAAGAGGAAGAACAACATGAAGAAGAAAATGGTGAGCAACCGAGACGAAAACATCACTTATTCGACTTTTAGGTGGAGTTTGTGACATTTCTAATATGTTTTGGGTTGTAATGCAGTTCAATATCTGGTGAAGAATGTTAGACACAGAAGAAGATATGTTTTGGCTATCAAAACCCCCCACCCAAATGCGCCCCTGTACTCTACTTACTGTTCCATCAAACTCTTACCACTTACATTATGAATGCACAAAGTTTTGGCCATGTGCATAGTTTGCAAGTTTATCACTTTTAACTATTATAATTTATGTAAATATCTTTATTTTTTCAATATAAGTTTCTGATAGGCAATAAATATTGGTCTAGCGACACTCAGTCTCTATTTTGTTAAAGGAATCATGCGTTCAAATCTCATAGAAGGACGATAGTTGTTGGAAAAACTATTTAGGGATTGATACAAACCCAACTGGATTTTGGATGCATGCATGATCTGATCATGTTGTAGATAACCTAATTTTAACGGACATTCAGTCTCTAATTTTGCTGGAGTCGGTTCTGAGTTCCAATCTTGTCGGCGATAGTTGTTGATGTAAGTATTAATTGTTTGGTACAAACCCAGCTGGGTTTGTTTGGGTGCATTACGCATGATATGACATCATGATGTAGACAAAGACTTTGTGATTTGCTTGTTGGGAAGCAAGTGAGAGTTGAGCTACTTCTCTTTAGATTATTAGATCTAGATGGATAACAAAATAGGGTTTGCTCATGCGGGTCCCACCAAGCAAGATAAGCAAAACTCAGCAAAGGAACCGGCCTGGCAGCTACCGCATCTCCACGTGGCTGCGCCGGTTGCTTGAGAGGTGGGGGAGGGCGGCGGAGGAAGTGTGCGTTTAGAGAATGTTTCTTTGAAAGATTCGCACGAGAGAGAGATTACTGAATTGTAGGGAAAGCAAAGACAACACTCTTCACAATCTTTACCATTTCTTCAAGTTGGACTGCTTCCCTTTAGTTTTAGGCTTATAGCCATTTGGTTTGGCTTAAGCCAAGTCCACCAAAAGCAAAAGGGTTTAATAGAGTAACATTACACGTAACTATCTATTTGTACAACATCTCTCTGATAGGTTGGGACAGCCAACACATGTAAGTTTTATCTTCATTAAAAAGATGATACAAATGATAATACAAATATGTGGTAAGAGTAGCATTTTTTACCTTAATATTCCCTACACATATAATTATACATCAACTATTACAATATTAATACATTATATTCTTTTTTATTTACATGTAAATCATGAATCAATAAGATAATAAGAGCACGGTATGATCAATATCACAAAATTCTTGCGATCGTTATTAGCATTGATTTCTAAAATCAAATGGGTTAAATATGTTTCCTTAGAGGTCAGATTACACAAAGCATTCATGTATTATGTTAATGTTCCTTTTGTGGTGCATAACTCTTAATAATACCATTGTAGTTAAGTATATGTTACCCCAGTGGCAAAGTCATATAAGAGCAAGGAGGGGCGGTCACATGTGGTCCTATATGCTAGTAAATAGGGTGTTGGATTTTTATCCATGAGTCTGGTTTGAAACTCCGTCTTCCTCTAAATTTTTATAATAATTTCGAACTCTCCCACTCCCATTAATAATAGTAAAATAAAAAATTTAAGATATGACCAAACTTATGGAACTTAGCATTATAAAATGTACCGATGAGTACGAAGTAATAGGTCTCCTAAAATTACACGTTAGAAATACTTAAAAACATCAACCACCAATTGTTTAGCATTATCTAAGAGCATATACATCCTTATTTCCAAATATGTCAAAGGAGATGAGATGGGTTCGTAATTGAAGAAGAATGGCGGAGATGACTAGCATTTCTTTATCTTGTCAAATTGGACAACAATTTTGTTAGTGGTAAGTTTCGTCAATGAGTAACACAACTTCTACCTTCAAATTGAACACAGTTTTTTCATTACATTTCTTCTTACTATGAAAAATCTCATATTAAACTTCATCAAATAACGAGTTTGATATCTAATTATTACAACTAGCGTATTTTGTAGCTCCTTAACTCAAGTCATCCACCCCTCAAGTATAAAAATATGAATGAGGATCCTCAACGGATACTCAAATCGTATCCGTTCATCGTACATCGTGCGGCTAGAAATCATTTTAAATATTTTTATTTAAAATTAAACATGAATAGTATTTGACGAAAACTGACCGTACGATATATGATGAATAAACACGATTTGATGCTCCTCGGATCCTCACAAAGAGGATTTGGAGAGGATCCTCATTCTAAAAATATCATTGAATCAAAGTATAAAAATAAAACATTTACCATATGCAAAAATAGATAAGTACAATGAATTCTTGTGCCGTTCATGGTATAAATTTCCAATTAAATAGGGTTGAAAAAAGGTACATTTGCAAATTACAAAAAGGGTAAATTATACTTTACCTCCACAGGTTTGGAATCAATTTCAATTCTTTACAACATCTTTAAAACATTTCAATTTCATACATTTACTTATCATTTTATTTCAATTTCATACATCTGTTAGAAAATCTGTTAAGCAAACCGTTAACTGATGACGTGACAAATATGGAATCCATATTTGTGCTGACGTGACTGTTACATTTGTGCCACGTGGTAAAAAAATAATATTTATTTTAATTTAATAGGTAAAATATTATTATATTTTAAATGAATAAAAAAATTAATTTTTTGTCACGTGACACAAATATGGCTGCCACGTCAGCATAAATGTGGATTACATATTTGCCACGTCATCAGTTAACAGTTTACTTAACAGATTTTCTAACGGATGTAGGAAATTGAAATAAAATGATAAGTAAATGTATGAAATTGAAATGTTTTAAAGATGCGTAAGGGATTGAAATTAACCCAAAACCTAAGGGGGTAAAACGTAATTTACCATTACAAAAACGAGTGAAGTGTGAGATGAACTGATAAGCCAGCCGAGCTGAACCGGAGCCGTCAACCGACGGCGTGATCGTAAACTCGAGAGCATGATTTTTTAGTGTTTGATTGATTGTGCATGAAGCAACAAAAACGAGGACCGAAAGAAAGCGTTGATCTTTTAAGCTGTCGTTTTTGTGATATTATACATATACACCCACCCATTTTTGCCGTGTTGGTGTCATGGGTTTGGCTCCTTCTCCTCTCTCTCTCTCCCCCAATTCCCCAAACCCCCCAAAACCCAAAACTAATTTGCATTTAACATTAACCCCCCCCCCCCCTCTCTCTCTCTCCTCCCTCTCTCTAAGATCTCTCTCACTGATCACGACGAAATAACGAATCGTAACTCGTGATGATCTGATACCACTGTGAGCTTTTGAGCCATTTATATAAATATATATGTATTTATATATAGATAAGGGAAGATCTATTTACAAGCCAGTTACTTGTCCCCACGACCTTTGAGGATCTCTCTCTTCTCCTGTTAATGTTGCTCGCCAATTATTGAGGTTTGTTCTTATTTCTTTTCTGGGTTTTTTTTTTTTTTTTTTTTTTTTTTTTTTTTTTGCTGTTGAATTTTGTATAAAGTTTTAGAATTTAGCTATGAATTCGTGAATTGGGTATTGGGAAAGTGAACTTGGGAGCCTTCATGTTGGTAAAAAGTAAAACTTTGGTTTCTCAGCTAGTGTTTTGATGTGATCGATATTCTACTTTAAACTAATTTAAATTCGGGGGAGGGAGTTCGAACTCGGGGAATAAGTGTGCTTCTCAGTTTCAGTTTTGAGTTTGGTTTCTTGGGTAGTTTTTTAGGGTGTGTGGAAGTTGGAGAATTTGTGGTGTGAATGGGATTGGAAAATTGCTGGGTTGAAAAGTAAAAGAAAAAGATGAAAAAATTAGGAGTTGAAAGTAAAAAAGGAAGCCAAAAGTAGACGTGAATTGTATGTAATTAAAAGTAGGAAAAAGTAGCAAGAATATTATCATAAACAGGGAATTGTAAGAAGTAATTATGTTTTATGTTATGAGGGGTTTTGAGTGATTTGGATCATTTTACAGTGGTTTGCAGGAAAATGGCAACTTTAGTTGAGCCTCCGAACGGAATTAGGCAACGGGGGAAGCATTATTACTCAATGTGGCAGACATTGTTTGAGGTTGACATCAAGTACGTACCAATCAAACCCATAGGGAGAGGGGCATATGGTGTAGTGTGCTCGTCAATCAATAGGGAAACGAATGAGAAAGTTGCAATCAAGAAGATCAATAATGTGTTTGAGAACCGCATTGATGCGTTGAGGACTCTGAGGGAGTTGAAGCTTCTTAAACATATCCGGCACGAGAATGTGATTGCTCTGAAGGATGTTATGATGCCTATCCACAGGACAAGCTTCAAGGACGTGTATTTCGTTTATGAGCTCATGGATACGGATCTTCATCAAATTATAAAGTCCTCACAACCACTTTCCAGTGACCATTGCAAATACTTTCTGTTTCAGGTACAGGCTTTCTCTTAACTTGTGTTATTTTATCTCATTAATTCTTTAAGTAGTCATCCTAATTGGTTGATGCTAATTTTGAGCTGAATTAGTTCATGGAAATGTAAACGATTCTGGAAAAGATTTAGGAACTGAATGAATAGAAAGCATGTTACCAAAGCACATTTTGACCAAGTATGAGGAGATGTTTCAGCTTCTTGCATTTTCTTATGTAGAACTTAACACTCCGGGGTTTCTATGCATTTAAGCTTCTAAAAGTTTGATTTGTTACCAAGCTTCAGTTAATTTGTGAGTTCTATTCTTCTAATAGTTATTCTGCTTGTGACTAATCTGATTCTGCATTGTAGTTACTTCGAGGGCTCAAGTATCTTCATTCAGCAAACATCCTTCACCGGGACTTGAAGCCTGGGAACCTGCTCATCAATGCTAACTGCGACTTGAAAATATGTGACTTTGGGTTGGCTCGAACCAGCGGAGGTAGTGGCCAGTTCATGACAGAGTATGTTGTCACTCGCTGGTATCGTGCACCGGAGCTGCTATTGTGCTGTGACAATTATGGAACATCCATTGACGTCTGGTCCGTAGGATGCATCTTTGCTGAAATTCTTGGCCGGAAGCCAATCTTCCCTGGAACTGAATGCCTCAACCAACTAAAACTAATTATCAATGTTCTTGGTAGCCAGCAGGAACCTGACCTTGCATTCATTGACAACCCAAAAGCCAGGAAGTACATCAAATCATTGCCCTATTCTAGAGGGACACATTTGTCCCGTTTATACCCTCAAGCTGATCCTTTAGCTATAGACTTGTTGCAAAGGATGCTTGTGTTTGATCCAACTAAGAGAATCTCCGTCACAGAAGCACTCCAACACCCTTACATGTCAGGGCTATACGATCCGAGATCCAATCCTCTTGCCCAGGTTCCCATCAGTCTCGACATAGATGAGAATATGGAGGAACCAATGATTAGGGAGATGATGTGGAACGAGATGCTTCACTACCATCCAGAAGCTGCTCAGATGCTTCACTATTATCCAGAAGCGTCTTTTGTGCATGCCTAGGTAAACTTTCAAAAGGCTTTCCTGTTTCTTTGTGCAATGTGTTTATTAATTATAGAAAACCTTGCATTAGAGAAACGTATTGTTGGTCTATCGTGTAACTCTGTGTATTTTTACGCTTGTTATTTGTAGTCTACGGCTATGAATCTGTATTACGGATAATGCATGTAAGACATTCCTGATTATAACCAAGGGAATTGAATAAAGACGCGTCCATTTTTATTCCATTCTTCTCTTCTGTTTTCATTCTCTCTTTAGGTTTCTTTACTCAAAGGCGACCCTTGCTCAAAGCTTAGTGTATATGCAGAAGCATATGCTGGTTTACCAGAAGGCGAAAGGAATAATCGTTCCTAGAATTTCACCATATGATTTGTGTCATTTGCTTTGTACTTCTGTGGTAGGCACTAATCGGAGACTACGACTGCCCTAGAGCTATGAAAACTTGACAGAGATGTCGAGAAAGAGGAGAAATGAGGGATGAAGAACGGTGGAGTAACAGTGGTGGGAGGGAGGTCGAAGATGTCTATGAAATGCTACATAAAATGAAAAGGAAGAACTAAAACAAACTTTTAAGTTATAATTTCGAATTTCTATTTTAATCATCGTCCTTTGTTTATCCCTCATTTGTACCTCCACCCTTCTTCGTCCCTCTTTTCCTCCATGTAGTTTCTCTATCGCGAACAAAAATTGAAAACTAAAAACTATTAACGGAAACGTTATTCCTTAGAGAAGAAAACCATTATGGATGGATAGCAGAGTGGTTAAATAGCCCCTCGTTTTTGTTTAGAAATTGGTTGGTCAATGTCTACCGGAATTGAATATAAAGTTGTCTGAAAACTATTTCGTTTTTACTATTTTGTTAACAATAAAGAGGAAATATAAGAGAGAAACGATGGACGGCCAGAGGTGGAGGATAAGTGGTGGGAATGAAGTGGATATAGAAGAATACACAAAATAAAAACAAAAAACTATGTCTATTATATTTTCTCTTGTTTTTATTTCCTATATTCTTCTCCTTTATTCCTTGAACCTTCACTCACCATTCTTCATTTCTATATGCATTCTCTCTTATGTAGTGCTATCCACACTCTTTTTTACTTTTTACACTCGTTTTAATTTCCGGTCATCGAATTGGATGAATTGAAGAAAATAAAAAAAACAAAAATTAACAATGAGTATTTAAGAAGTAAAAATATAGCATCACCCTATTTCTAAAGCTGCTGCATGGATATGCTGCCTTTTTAAATTTATTTTGGCAAACAAACTAGGGAAACATCCACCATATATATTTATATCCAACTATATACACACAAAAAAAAATTAAAAACATGACACTCAAAAGTGCACTTGAAAGGAAAAAGAGCACACAAGTTGAGACCCAAGGAAAGAGACCTCCACAGAAGAAGTTGATGAGCATGGATATTTATGTCTGCCAACTTTTCTTCTCAACCCCCAACTTCCCACCACTCACTGACCTCTGCTCTGCCCACCGCTTGCCTGCCTGGTTTCCTCCCCCTTCTTTTTTCAATGACACTAGGGGCCAAGCCCTCCACGGCAACTTGCAATACCATATCCTTTTTTCATAGAAAACTTTAATGAAAAAATTTTGGTACTGTTCACTTTAACGAAAAATAAGGTCCAAGAAAGACTTCAAATATGCCCTGAGTTGCTTATGATTTCACTGGCTTTTAGATTCGGCAGCGATTTTGGTACTGTCAATTTAGCTTCTCACACTATAAATGATTTGTTTTATGCATGAGTCTTTCAAAAGTATGATTTTTCATGTACTTTTTGCTATCTCATGCTTTTAGCATAATATTTATAATGTTAGCATGAAAATTGATATTAAAATATGAGATGTCAGAGATTCTATAGAGAGTCTCATTTTGAAAGTCTCCTTGGCATTTCACTTGTTTCAGAATTTTTCTATACAGAAAAAAACAGTGCCATGCACGCTAAATTTATAGGAATATTTGTGCTCAACGCTCTAAATTTTGGTGTATACTCAACATACACTTAATCATTTGTCGCGTGTCCTTTCAATTAACCTTGATTAATTTTTTTCAAAATTGAAAAAGTAACATTTATTGTGAACATTAACTAGAGTTAGGTGAAAAGATACATGACAACTGATTAAGTGTATAGTGAGCATACAACATAGTTATGGCATTGAGCAAAAATGCCACCCTAAATTTATGGGACAATTTTTTCTCACTATCATAGTGTATGCTCACCATACACTTAATCATCTGTCACGTGTCATTTCACTTAACTTTAGTTACTTTCACATTAATTTTTTTTTTTAATTTTGAAAAAAAAATTAATCAAGGCCAAATAAAAGGACACGTGGTAGATTATTAACTGTAAAATAAGCATACACCATAGTTTATAATGGAGGAGAAAAATGCCCCCTTTAAATTTGTAGTGTGAAAGTCAACAGGCTGGTTTGGTATTGCTGTACTTTGAAAAAAAAATTGTTTCTGCTATATTGTGAGAATAAACTCATTTTTGCTGCTTCGCGTTTTTAGCTTTTTTTTACTCAAAACTATGAAAATAAATTATTTTTAAATATTTACCAAACATCTTTTTTAGCTCTGTTTTTTTTATACGCATTTTTATAAAAAAAACACCAGTACTTACTATTGCCTTTTGTTCAGTGTTGAATATGAAAAGTGTGCTTGGGGAAAAGTAACTGGAGCTGGCATCTTTAAATGAAAGATTACCTAAATCTTAAGCACATGGCATACAAAAAGTGGAATATCCTCTCTCTCTCTCTCTCTCTTCCTCCCCACCATATATATATATATATATGTATGTATGTATGTATGTATGTATGTATGTGAGCGTATAACAAGTTAAATGGGGTAGACCTCAATTACCAATCAAAGTTGAGGAAGGGTCCAATAAATCATATGTGTTTTCCAAATTCAAAATTTCAAAGTCCTAAGGAGATTATTGTTTATAGAACAAACAAAATTGGTCACCTAAAATCTTAAATATCTAAAACATGCAATTCATGCTCAAATAAAATTACAAACATCAAACATGAGAATTGACTGAAAACCAAAACCATCAAGATTTTAATTAGAAGCTTCTAGTGCCCTCGAGCACGGCATATTCAAAAGTAATTTGAGCATTCCTCGAGGGCACGAGAACAACTTGACAAGGACTCGAGTGGCTATATTTTTTTTGACTTTTTCTTTTTATGAAACGCATCTCCATCGCTGGGCAGCCAATGACCACTGGTTTTGGGGCCTAACCTGTGAAAGACGTTACCCTTCGTATTATTCATTAATTGGAAGGGGAAAAAGATTCTCGTCGGATCCTTTTTTTGAGGATTTAAAGATTCTGTAATTGTGATCGTTCATCGTATATTATATGGTTAGAAATTATTTTAAAATTAAATATAAATAGTACTTAACAAAAACTGATCGCACATTATACGATAAACAATCACGATCACGGAATCCTTAGAAAAAAAAGATCCGACAATGATCATTTTCCATTGTAAGGGACCATCTCTCAGAATTCTGACCACATGCGCATGCCCATGTACTGTTGGTGTTGGGATTCAACAAGAACAGCAAGTCAGAACTATGTTAGCACAAGACTCTTGTGCGACTTTTGGTTGGTGTAACCTAATTTTGCAACACTTGTCCACTATATGATGGATTCTTGAGGGAAAAAAATATCATCTTATGTTAAAAACATAAAAACATGTTCATTTTTTATTTTTAATATCAAATTTAAAGATGAGTGATCATGCATTTTTTAATCATTTGGTAATCACAATTCGTCTATTTTTATTATGCAAAGATTTACGATTCATAGCTGCTTCAAGGAAATGCTTACATGTTATAACTTATATTGTTACATAATAATTTAGGCTTAATTGTAACAATAATCCATAATTATAGCATTGGTTAAAGAAAGTATTTCTCAAGTTATATATCAATATATAATTCAGGGATGATTGTTACATAATCTTAAGATGAGATGAGAGACACAGTTTCTCTTAAGACGTTTCAGTTTACAAGTTTATCCTAACCATTTCATACTGAATGTGTGGTACAAAAATCGGTGGAAAATATTGACTCTTTGGAGAATACATATCCGATATGCAACTGTGAACTTTTCAAATACTGAGGACTTGGCCATTAAGAGTCACATTCTATGTTATTGCTTTTTCCTCATAATTATATTATATGAGACAATCAGACATGTTCTTAAATTGTTTTTGGTAGTTTATATATTTTAGGTGGCCATTGCTGGCCTATATATTCAACCCTCCACCACTCTTCAAAACCTCCTCTCCATTATCTTTCCTGCCTACCCCAAGAATTTGATCTCTTTCTCTCTCTTCTCTCTCCTCTCCTGGTTCTGAACGCCTTGTGTCTGCTTCAAATTTCATAACCTCTCTCCCGGTTCTGAAAACCTTGTTTCTGCTTCAAAGTTCATAACATTTGTTCTTCTTCTTTGTCTCCAATGCTTAATATACAAACCTACAGATTTAATCATGTTTCCGGTACTCAGTGAAATCCTGCTCTCTGGGTGTATGATAAACTCCACCCTCCTTCGCAGAACCCACCTTGTCCAATCCTTCTCTGTTGTTTTCCTCTACTGGTTTTACAACATTTTATAAACAATTTTTACTTTTTTCTTAATTATTTTTTAAATCTAGCATCTGCGTTCTTCAAATAATAACTCTTTAACTTTCTTGGGTAAGAGAAAAGTTTAGATTTTTTTGGTTTTTTATAAGCATATAAGTATTTCACACATGGCTTCTTCAAGTGGGGTTTCTTCAGAGTCAAGCAAGCTCCAAAACTCAGGATCTGATGAAGATCTTAACCAAGTCATGGACCAGAGAAAGCGCAAAAGAATGCTGTCCAACCGGGAATCGGCACGTCGATCCCGGATGCGAAAACAGGAGCATCTGACTGATCTGACGGCTCAGATTGGTCTCCTGACAAGGGATAACAACCAGATCATCACATCCATGAACGTGACCAACCAGCTTTACATGAAGCTCGAGGCAGAAAACTCAGTCCTCAGAGCTCAGATGGATGAGCTCACAAACAGATTGCAGTCTCTCAATGATATTATGGATTGTATTAATTCAAGCAAATGGATCTATGAGGAAGAAGATAATCATAATATTATTGGTGGAGGTGATGGGTTTCTGAACCCATGGGGTACTGGCTTTTTGAATAATCAACCAATCATGGCC